AAAAAAAAAAAAAGGCCACAGCTCAACTGCAGATGATGTAACCTACCTGGAGCACTGCTCCAATGTTCTTTCTCTGCTCTAAAACCACCACAGTAATGTCCAAGATTCCCAGATCGCTCAGGAGTCGTCAGCTGCACATGCCTTCTGTGGCCCCACTAAGGAACCCAGCACATCTTAAGGTTGATGACGCTAGAAGGGCACCTAAGGACAAAGCCTGCTTTGCCAAACCCAGCTCCTAACCTTCTCAGTTTAAACACTCTTCTCATAAAGGAAGTGTATTTTCCCAAGAGCCAGAGACAAATGGCAGCACTTCATACTCAGAAGGGAGAAGACACACACACAAGAGAAACCTCACTTTTCCCTCATTTTCAACCTAAATCATGTCAAATTTGGTGATCTGTAATCAGAAAGGCAGGGCATAGCTTCTTTCATTATTAACAGCAATTCATATAAGCACTAGTATACTACGATGACAAGAAATAAATACTCTCTGACCATGTATAACAGCATTCCACATTGTTAAATGGCATTTGGCATGAAAAATACCTTAGCATATTTGAGAAGTACAAAATTTTGTTGCACTGACTTTGTCTTCTGACAGAAGCAAAGCAGCCATGCATGGTAGTGCACGCCTGGCATCCAACACTTGGGAGACTCAGGCGGGAGGCCCACCGCAGGCCAAGGCCAGCCTGGGCTGCACAGTGAGTCCTACGCCAGCCTGAAGCAAGTACATCATGAAACCCTGTTTCAAAGTAAGCACACACACACATACACACACACACACACACACACACAAAAAGAAGAAAAACAACTTACAGTTTTTAAATCTGATTGAGATACTAATTTACATGTGGCACATAAAGACTTAAAATCTATTCGTTCAATTTAACCAAATTCAGAATTTAAATAGCTATTGATAATGACATTTTATCTTTTAAAGAAATGTCAGTGTAGATCTGAAAGACAATTAAAACTCTTCCTTGCTGTATGTGCCTATTCCTTTGTTCCATCTCCCATCCATGTGCTGACTTTGAGCTTCATCTGTGTGTGGCTCATGACCTAGACTACATGAGCCCATCACTACAGAAACTTCCTTCAGTACTGATGTCTGGAAACACTCCAGACGCACTAGATCTGAGTTCCTGAGGGGAGACCTGAACACGCTTTAATGGCCCAGTGATTCCAATATTAGAACAAGATTGAGAACTATTAGACCAAACAAAGAACACATAAAACAAAAAACAAAACCTAATCATAAATTTTGTTCTTTAAAGGCTCATACTCTCCGGTGTTGGGTATACAAAGATGAATAAAACGTACTCTCAAGGCAAGCAAACACATGCTTTAGGTGCTATGACGGCACAGGAAGCCTATATCCAGTTTAGCGAGGAGGATACTGAAAAGCTGGGGGCAGGGGATAACAAATGGATAGAAACTAAACAGAAAAAGGAGGGTAGGGAAAAGATCTAGGCCCTGAGGAGAGACAGTAACAAAAATAAAATGCCGTGATGTAGTTCAGAGGCAGAAGGTTCACCCAGAATGCACAAAGCTGTGGGTTTGATCCCCAGCACAAAAACAAAAACAAAAGAAACCAAGAGAAAAACAAAAAAAGGAGTTAGGAAATAACCCAAATCACTCGTGTTTGATTCTAGCAGTGAAGTACTAGGCATAAAAAGAAGAGTAAACAGAAAACTGGAAAAAAAAAAAAAAAAAAACAGTCCTTGCACACCTTAGGAAGGGCCTTGAACTTAACCCTCTCAGTGATAAAGAGAGGAAGAACACAGCCAGTCTGTGCTGGGGACAGAGTGCCAGAAGGCAGGAGGAAGAGCAGCCACAGTGCACCTGCCCTGAGCACCACATGTGCCCTGAACACACTGGCGAACACGCCACGCTGTCTCCACTCCTCTGCCCACCACTATCTGTGGCAGGCACTAGAACCTTTCTGTTACATAAGACGCTTCACTTTTGGAGATGCTTTCTGGTTCTTTCGGAGGTGTTCCAGTAACAATTCTGACCCCCAGAGCCAAGCCTCTAAGCTGGATGGCCAGAAATGAGTACAGTGAGAAGTACAGGCTAAAGGCTGACAAACTGCTTAGGCAACTGTTACATGTCATTCTACACGGAACAGGATGAGGGCAGAAGCAGCACGGCTAGAGGAAGAAACAGAGTCCACAAATATTTACAGGTTTTAAAAATTACCAAAGTCACACCATTCAGCCAAGCACGGTGAGGAACACCTTTAATCTCAGCTACCCAGAAGGCTGAGACGGGAGGATCACAAATGGGAGGCCAGTGTGGGCAACACAGCAAGATACTATCTCAGAGAAATAAAAAGGCACAGGCACACAGTGCAGTGTAGGCTCTGTTCATTTCCAGGACTAGGAAAAGTCAAAATGATTCAGCTTTTACAAATTATGAAATTCTGGTACAATGCAACAATATGGATAAACACGAAAACATCATGCTAAGTGAAATAAGGCAACCACAAACATTTGTCATCCTATTTATAAAGTATTTAGAATAGCCAAATGCATACAGAAAGAAAACAAAACAAAAGTTACAGATGGGTGAATCAAAAGTTGTAAGGAATACTTTTTTTTCAGGAATACACTTTATGAGATAGTATGAAGATTAAATAAACCTGCACCAATCCTTAAGATAGTGAGGAGTCTACAACACAGGAAAATAAGCACAGGTAGTTACAACTTGCTTTGAGGTGCTTATGTAAAAAAAGCTACTTATACATGTTTTCAAAATTAGTTCACCATAAACTTCCATACTGCTAATGAAATAAAAGTATCCTATAATAAATAAGGAGACATTTTACAAGGTAAATACAATACTCTTACATGCTTGGTTTTTGTTTTAGATATAGACCTATTTTAACGGGCAAGTCATCTAAAAAGTTCCCCAGTATGTAACAACCATCAAGCATAAAAGTACTGATCTGAAGTTTGCCATGATGCCAGAAACGAAGTCCTCTACATACAGCATCTCTGATAACTTCAAAATTACAAGGCCAGTATTATGCTCAGTTTTCAGACTATCCAGAAAGCAACATCACAGTGTCTAGAAATGGCGAGTCTGGGATCTGAACATGCTGTGGCTTCAAAGCAACCACTGACCCCTGAAAAAATCCTTGATTAATATCCTGCAGCTATCTCTTATACCAGAAATAGAATGACAAGTTCATACAGAATCCAGGGGGAAAAATGGCTCAGATACCAAGTGATGAAACACACACATCTTAGATCTGCAGTCCTTTTCACTACAAAACAAAATGTTCCATAACCATTACCTTAGCCTATATTTATTCGTAATTGTATACTTATGCAGAAAATGTCAGAAAAATATGAAAAGGAACACATTTTGACCTTAATACTCTACACCAAAACTAAAAGCAAACTTGCAGTAAGACCTCAACAAGTTTCCTCACACATCTGAAGTAGTCTAAAGTAGGTCTGATAGTCTCTAATAGTTATTAGTATTTGAAGCTCTCTAAGTAGTTTCTAATAGACTTTGTTTATGGGCTTTCTTGGTCCTGTAGATCCTAAAAATAAAATATTAAGATAGAACTGAACAACTTATTGCTACAGACTTGCACAGCAGTTTTAAAGGATGATTAATCTATTAGCAAAGAGCATAAACTATGTCACATAATACTACAAGGTATCAATGGAATTGGCCATAAGGCACAATTTGCATTTATGAAAAGATATGCAATGCCTTTGTAACACTGAAGACAGAACCCAGGGCTTTCTCACTGAGCTACATTTCCAGCCCATCTTTATTTTTCATCTAGAGACAGGGTCTTGTTAAAGGCACTACATTGCCCAGGTTCAGCCTAAAGTTTGCAATCCTCCGCCTCAGCGTCCCAGAGACCTGGGATTATAAGCATGGCCCCCACATAGTTGATAATACAATATTGTTTCTAATTTTTAGAAACAATATAGAGATCCAACATTCTCTATAAATCTTTCTTCCATCACAACGAATTCCTTGGAAGGTAATAATGCAGATCTACCTTTACTATGAAAAGATAAGAAGCAGCTTTGTTTCTAATGGTTCACATTCCAGAAGAAGTTAAGTAACACTAGTATTTTAGAAACAAAACTACTAGCCAGATTAATTCCTCATGGCGAAAACACTTTCATAGGCGAGTTCAAGAAAATTAGGTGAGAAAAAAAACTTTGGAGGTCTTTTGCATCACAAACATAAATCAATAATCTCAAAGTATTCTTTAAATTGCCAGGACGAATTTCTGAATCTTATATATTATCTGCAAACAAACAAACAAAACCCCAAAAAACAATTTGACAATCTTGGGCAGGGCAAGTGGCGTAACAATAAGAGCACTAGCCTGCAAGAGTAAGGCTTTAACTTCAAGACCCAGTGACACGCTAAGCAAAATGACTCTCACAACGCAAATGGGGATAAAACAGATTACTGTAAAACAAGTGTAATGCATTTCACTTAAAGATTTAAAATTTTTTTATTACTACAGGGTCTACAGGGTCTCTACAGGACAGATTGGACCTGTAGTGATTCTCCTGCGTTCAGCCTCCCACGCGCTGGGATTTCAGGCATGCACCACCACGACCAGTCTCAATCGCTGTCTCAGAGCACCCTGAAGGTAGGGCCAGCACAGCACGCTTTAGTCTGCTGAGCACTTTAAAGAATTATTCTGACATCATTTGAAATTAAAAGTTTAGAAGTGCTGAGTATGACTATTTTAAGACCTGATGGTTATATTTAAAACAATAAAGAAATAAGGTGCTAAGGGAAGAAAACAAGATAATTATGATTAACCTGATAACTTAAAGAAGAAACTCAGGTCTAGTCACTGGCTGCTATCTACTCCCCGCAACCAGGGAGCTGAATGTAGAACGGCACCTCCTCGGACACAGGCAGGCTGCCTGATTCTATTGCTTCTCTTGGCTGATTTACAGAATCCCGCCATACACGCCATTTTTAAGAAGCTGAAGCTGCACATCAGTCACCTGGTGGTGAGGAGTCCCCTGAGGGCCAGCAGCAGGCAGAGACCCACCAAGCAGACGCCGGCGCCCTGCAGCAGGAGCACTGAGTGCTGGCTCCGCACTGGGGCCTGCGGGGGCGGCCCAGGAAGGAAATGCAGCGCCTGAGCCGTGGGCACACGGAGAGTTTTCGCTCAGCAGCGCTGCAGACCGGACTCCATGCTCCCATCCGGGAGGCGCACATCCATCACTGGTGGCATTTCCTAAGTTCTTCCTGCCCACTGGCCCACAGGCTGGGACTGTGAGCTGCTGGGGCACAGCATCCACTCCTCGTGACCTCTCAGCAGCTGCCTGAAGAGAACACGGGCTTAACTGTGGCACGCTGCCCTGGATCACCGCAGGCGGCCCAAGCTGCTGGAGGACTTGAACTGGGTGCTGGAGCGCGCTCGGTCTTCCCGAGGTCTGCGTTACTATTATTGGGACATTAACTTTATAAAGCTGACCTAGTAAAAGGAAAAAACAAAACTAAGTGTAATGAATTCTAACTTCCCTACAAAAGACGTCTCCAATAGGCTGGGCAAAATACACCAATAAGTCAATAGCGATTATCTCCAGGAATTTCCCTTATGGTCTTCAGACTGTCTCCTATTTCCTACAATAAATTCATATGATTCTTATTTTTTAAGTTAATTTGTATTGCTTTACCTGTAGCCTTTTCCCACTACTGTTTACATAACACATTGAGATACATACAGACCCCCAATATTTAATCCATGGCCTTCTCCTATCATTTGATAAATTAAGATGATCAACTCACAATGAAATCTGAACAATCATGTAAAAATGGATTTCATAAATTTAAGATACCATTACAAGAAAAGGCTATCAAAAAAAAGAACTTAACAATTTCAAGTTAAATTTTTCCCTCTTTGTCTTTAAAATAATACTAATAGGAAAAAGGAATTGATCTGAGCACTATGTTACGAGTTGTACTTCAACTTTATAATACCCAAAGAATAGTCCTGACCCTCTGCCGAGCGAAGAGACCATGCTGCGGAGCAGAGGCCGACTAACCTCTTGCATTCTGGATGTCCTTTCCAGTAGCCCGGGCAATATGACATGGACGGAGATTGTGACTGAGTGACCTAGTCTTACTTTTCCTTCATGAGAACTACCAGGAAAGTAGGTAAGATTCTTTTCTTTTGTATTTACTGAAATTTAGATAACTGACAAACTAGAAAAAATATATATACCAAATATCTCATACAACTTTGGGCAAAAGAATTGAGAACAAATCACAGGCCAGGCCTACGACAGTCCTCTGCAGCAGACTGCTTCCGTAACAGTAATAACCACCATTCTTCTTTTCTTCAGCACTGCTAATGGAGCCCAGAACCTTCACCCTGAGTTACATCTGCATCTTTTCTTTCCTTTTTTTTAGACAGAGTCTCACAGAATTGCCCAGGCCAGGCTCAAACTTGCACTGCCCCTGCTTCAGCCTCCCAGAGTGCAGAGACTACAGCCTTTATGTATTTATATGTATGTAGTACAGGATCTACAGGGTCTCGCTACACAGATCAGACTCATAGCGATCCTCCTGTTTTCAGTTTTGTTTTGTTTGTTTTTTTGTTTTTGTTTTGTTTTGTTTTTGAGGAACTGGGGATTGAACTCAGGTCCTTGCACTTGCCAGGGAAGCACTTATTCCACTGAGCCGTCTCCCCAGCCCTGTTTTCAGCTTCCCAAGTGCTAAGATTATAGGCACGTGCCACCACGCCGTCTGATTATTACTTTTAAAACAGGCTTTATTAAGGTTCCTATATTTTCTGGTGTACAGTCATTAACCATGGCACTTAATGCTCACAAGTTAGTACCCAACATTCTCGGCACATTCTCTCACCAGATGCAGTCTGTAAGGTCACACCTGCCGGGACGTAAATAGGACACCCGGGAAAAGCAAAGCTCGCACCAGACCTTGCAGTGTCCTAGATACAAGAGATTTATGTTAGACATTTAGACAACTTGGCTTGATCTTTCTCCATATGATATTTTAAAAATCTAACTCCAGATAATAAGACTGTAACAACTTCATGTCATTTAACTTTTGAAATTAGAGCTGAATTCCTTGAATAAAAGTTTTAATTTTTTGATTTCAATCATTCCATCAAGGAGGAAGAATTCTGTTACGTAGTCATTAGAAATGAAGCCCTAAGTATTGATGAACAGAACGAATGCTGGCTCATAAAACTTTCTAATACATAACACTGCCTGGACCACTGATTCTCAAGGTGTCCACACGAGAGCCAGAGCCAGGTGTGGTGCACACACATGTAACCCCATGAGTGCTGAAGGAAAGCTGGGAGACTGGCACAGGACGATCACAAGTCCAGTGAAATTCTGAAAAATAAGCACTAGGGATGGAATTCAGTGAGAAGTGCTGGGTTCAATCACCAGTAATGCACGTACGGAAAAAAAAAAAAAAAGAACCACAGCTGTTTATAAGGGCCCTCCACTCTCTAAGGTGGTTATTAATGGCATTTTTAAGCTAGGTATGAGAGTGCATATTTTGTACTATGCTAGTGCATAATCTTTATTTTTGAATAATTAGACCCTAGGGTATTAAAACAAACAGATCAAAACAAGGAAAAGTGTCTATCAAATCTGTAAAACATAAAAGAATGAAAAGTAAAAGTAAATATTCTTCTTCACTCCCTAAAACACTGCTCATTTTTCTCTTAATAATTTTATTTCTTGTCTAAAGTCTGAGGAATAGTGGGTAAACACTTCTTCACAAAAGTACAAAACGATCAAAATATTCCAGTTAAATATAGGGTAAAACTATGAAGTCACTCAATTACGGAAAAAAAAAAAAACTCAGAGAAATATTGTATCAAAATTACCTATCTAAGATCCACCAAGTATGTAACATAATATATTAAAACTCCATACTATATAACCACAGATTCCTTAACCTTCTAGGGTCTTAGAAATTGCTACCAACTGCTCTGGAAAAACAGAAAATGTTAGAAGAAAATGCAGATTCTGAGTCCCTGAGTTGTGTTATGATATGGAAACAGTTCCTGTTCTCGTTGCCCACTACATCTTTCCCATACCCCCAAAGCATCATAAACCATGCCTGTGCCCAGCGCTCCCTTCCACGCCCTAGAAGTAAGGCACATCCTATGATGGACTCTAAAGAAGCTACATACCAATTCTGCTGGGGTACAACCTGGAAGAGTTCTACTAGCAGGAACGACTAAGGATGCTGTTTAGAAAACAAAGTGAATATTATACATTCATTAGAATTTACCATTTTTAAAGTACTAAATATACATTTTTAAACTTTTCCTATTAACATGTTATACCATAATAAACTCTGAATTTTGATTCCACATGAAGAAAATAGCATTTAATTATATTTTTCCAGCAACTTTAGAGAAAGACTTTGTAACTAATCTCTTTTAAGTAGCAAAAGGAAATATTTCATTATAATCATGCATATTATACTTAGAAATCTCAACAAAATATGAAAATTCACCTTCCTCTCCACTCCCCCCCCCTTTATTTTGAGAAAGGGTCTCACTGAATCACCAAGATGCACAGGCAGGGCTTAAACTTGTAACCCTTCTGCCTCAGCTACCCAGAACTCTGGGATTACAGGCATGCACCACACACGCAGCCCAGATTCTCTTTAGTAAATCAATGGGGTACTAAATCTCCACTACAGTTTTTCACTGGAGAGACTAAATAATACAGTGTTTGTTAAATGGTGAATTTCTAACGGAATGTACTATTGATCAAAAATATGTAACCCAACATAAATCCATTTTAAATTTTATAAAGTTCTATTCATTCATTTCATGAAAGCATATTTACAGTACTTTGGACCAAGTAAGCAAGCAGAGCTACACAGTTTTAGTAACAAATGAATCAAGAGTTTGCAATGAGTCATGGCTATTAAGAAAAATATAAGAAAACAATTCTAAGATGAATTCCCGCTCAGCCTGTATTAAAGTTACATTATCATTTATCTTTCCTTTATTATTTGCTGCCTTTCTATGCTAACTGTCCCTTGTAATGCATCTAAATAAGTATAAAGACCATATAATCGAAGAATGTCAGTTGTTCAATGTAATCATAAACCTTAAGTGATCAAGTTTCATTTTACCTTGCTGAACATAGCTGTACGAATATCATTTTTTATTTAATAAAAACAAGAACTTTCTATTTAGCAGGCTTCTGTAGCCACATGCACATTAACGTCACATTTCTTGTGGTCTTGTTCTCACATACTGAACTAGGGAAAATCTCCCAAAAGACCCATTTCCGATGCTAGCATGGCTGGGCCACATAGGGACAGCTCAGAGAGCAAGTATTTTTTAAAACCTGACCATTCTCCCCATGTTCAGACCACAGAAGTTAGGCTGCAGATTGATGGCTAATGAAGCACAGAATTATTTTTATCCTCTTGCCATCTATGGTTTTGCTCATTAACATGAAAAGCTATATGACAAAGATCGGAGTGGCAGGAACACAATGGTATTAGTCTTAATTAGCTGAAGTGAGCAAAGCTTAAGCTGCTACTGCTTAAGCATAGCCTGCGAGGAAACAAAACTCTGTTAACACACTGTCTAAAGCAATTAAATGAATTTCCTGGGGGAAAACAGCAACAATTCTCCCCTTTTAAATACCTTGTAATAAATCCTAAAGGATAATTCTTTATACGTAAAGAAATCAAACAGCTCTAAGAGCAGCTTATAAAACTTCTTGTAGACATCAGAACAGGAACACTGAACTAACAGATGCATAGTGAAGTTTCATGCAGCTCCTATCCATAATTTTGACACTAAATTCGCAAGTTATATGCTCCACTTTCGTATATTCACAAGTTATATACACCATTAAGTTACTGCTTATTTTAAGTA